GATATTGGGCTGGGGATTTAGCTCAGTGGTTCCGCCACCTGCCTTGCAAGTGCAAGGACCTGAGTTTGACCCCTGGTACCAAAAAAATAAATAAATTAGATATGACTTATACATACGGCGCCAATCACAAGTCCTACTGAAAATATCATCTCAGTCTACGAGAAAGCCATTCAGGCAGGAACTTGACCTACTGAAGAGATGAGACACACCACTGTAGGTACTTTTAACAACCAAAGAGTCAAGAAAATAATCAATTGTGGAGAAAAGATTAGAAATGCTCATAGAACCAAGTTTATGAAATCAACATTGAAGACACAGGTATTAATCTAGAGCTAGGAAAACTAGAACTGGAGAATAAACATAGAAATACAGTATTTCAAGATTATGTGAAACAGCAAAATGACAAAATAAAGATAGATATAACGAACAATGTTAAAACCCCTGATAGAGAAGATAGATGAAGGTGCGTAAGTAAATACATCTACCATGCCGTACTTGCAAAGTATAAAAAAGATGTAACTTGATTAAACAAAGTCTGCATTTAAAAGGCTAAAATTTCTAACAGTCATGAGGTGTTTTCAAGGGCTTTAAGGGAAGACTTCTAAGTTACCATTCTAAAAGACCCTTACCCTTCAGTATCTTCCTTGGGACAGTGAAGGGGGAGAGAGGTGAAAATGACACTTTTGTAGGCCAGCCTGAAGTAGCACCGTGCCCATGTCCCCTGAGACTGACACAAGAGAAGAAAAAGTTGCAAAGAGGAAAGAGAGTTTTCATTACCCCGGGGGGTTTTGTTGTGTGTCTCCATCTTTCCCTGGGACGTGACATGGGCCACATACCTGTGTTCATGGAAATGAGATCTGTACTAATGTTTACGTTGCCGTGGAGGTGCCTGTGTATGTCTAGAAAGCTAATCAAAACGTACTTAATCTCAAGACTGAGTTTTTCTTTAAGATATGTAAATTTCCTGTTTATTTATTGTGTTCCTTAAATATAAATAGGTTTGCTATCATGTTACCTTGTTTATTAAAAATAGGTACGGTAACAATGCATCATCAGAGAATGAGGTATTCCAGAAAAAATGTATATTACTATTAAATGGACATGTTTCAAAAAATTATGATGGCTGAGAGCTATGCATGGCAGTGCATGCCTGTATAATACTAGCACTCTAAAGGCTGAGGCAGAAAGACTGAGTTCAAGGCCAGCCTGAGCTACGTAATGAGACCTTGTACCCCCAAAACCCAAATTGGGTCAGGAAATAAAGCTCAGTGGTGGAGCACGAGCTTAGCTTGAGCTCTTGGGTTCAATCTCTAGTATCAAACCAAATAAGTAATGTAATGTATAGAAAATTGTAATGTGTAGAGCTACTCCCTTAAATATTAAGACATATAAGGTTTAGCTTGCTTTTCCACCAAACTCATGTTATCCAGACTGTTGTGCTCTGCTGTGTCCCTTGAACTCACTGTCTCTGTGATGATGAGTTGCATCTGCTGTCTTCACCCCTATCTCGTTTGGAACTGAGTTTGCAAAGGATGGTCACCTGAATACCCCATTCCCAACAGAGGTATTTCAGAATAACTCTGTATTCTGTACAGAAGAAAATGGCCAAATTTAGTGCATATTCAAAATCAAAATCTGAGTTTGTTTCTTTTGTTGTGTACTGTTTTTCATATTGAATACTTTTTTTTTTTGGTACTGGGGATTGAACTCTGGACCTTGAGCTTGCGAGGCAGGGGGCAAAACCACTGTGCTAAATCCCCAGCACTCAGCTTGACTATGTTAATGTTAAAATTTTAACTTCCACAGCTTCACTGGAAGTTCTTTAGGACGGAGTTTGGGAGGGAATATCTAATGTCATTCTACTCTACACTTCTAAAATAACCAAGATTGATACTTGCTTTCTTCTTCATAATATAAAAACCACACTGCTAAATCATGTGCACTGAGACGTGATGCTTACATACAGAAAACTTTTCTCCATATAAATACCCCCCAAAATTTGTTTTTTAAGATCTGAGCTAATACTTAAAAGATATACATCCTCTATCAACTCTACAGTTTCAAATAAGTGAACAGTAAAAAATCATAATGGAACATGGTGTAAAGAACATATACTTAGTCTTAGGTTTACTCCATATTTGCATCTTTGTTTCAATTATTGTCTTCTCATATTCTAAGAGTGGGATTTTTTTTTTTTTTTTTGGTACCAGGGATCGAACTAGCATCCTTGCGCTTGCGAGGCAAACAGTGGAACCACTGAGCCAAATCCCTGGCCCTAAGAGTGGGATTTTTATTACGATTAAACTGTGTTCTAGTATGTATACAATAAAAATATCCATGCAATGATGTTCTAGTAGGGGGAAAATATGTGAGAAAATATAAAGGGGCCATTTTTCTACTCTCAATCTCTTTTAAAAAATATGGCTTCTAAAAGCAAAAATTACAACAACATAGTATACACTTCTCTGTACTTGGTGATATAATAAATTTCATGACTATAGCATAATATACAAAGATCATAAATGAAACTAAGACTGCAGAGATGTCACATTTAGAAGGAAGTAATATGATACTAAGTAGAGTAGAAAGACCAGTGCTATGGCTTAGCCTGTAATCTTGGCACTCTAGGAAGCTGAGGCAGGAGTACTGCAAGGTGAGGCCCAGCCTGGGCAATCCAGCAACTTAGGGAGACCCTGTCTCAAAGCAACAAAAGATGGCTGGGGATGTAGCTCAAGAGAAAGATCTTCAATCCCTAGTAACACAAAAAGCATTTATGGGGTATAGAATATATAAATTCTTAAAAGGCAAGAGTTTTCTTTCCCAAAAAAGTACCTATAGTCACAATAATCATCCATAAATATTCTTTCCCAAAAGTACCTATAGTCACAATAATCATCCATAAATGTTACTGATATTCTGTCAAACTACAGAGCGGTAGTGTAAGAAATAAAGTACTTTGAGCATGTTCCTTTCCTTATGTCAGGGCCTTTGCACATGCTCTCTCTCTGCCTGGAATGCTCTCACACTCTTCCTCAGATAATGGCTATTCGCCCCTCTGGTCTGAACAGCATTTCCTCTAGGGAGCCTTGCCTGGCAACCTCCCACCAGGGGCAGAATGAATACATCCTGTTACAGGCCCCACAGCACACTGGACTTCAGCACTTCTGGTTATAATTAAGTTGCTCTTATTTACCTCTTTATTCTTCTAGGAAACAAAGATCCAGAAAGGCACTGGTGCTCACTGCTGAGTTCTCTATATTCAACACAGTGCCCCGTACCAAGGTGCTGGGGAAAGAGACAAAAGGCTCCCAACCTGCTTCCTCCTTCCCAACATACCGTTTGGCTCTTTCCAAGTCATCATTTGCTTGCTCCAGCTCCCTGATGTATTTCTGCAGTTGATCTTTAATTGCTTTAGTCTGTGCCAGGTCATCCTCCAAAGCCGAGATCTGCCGGTAGCCTTCAGAATGCTGCATTTCAAATTTCTCCTGAAGGACAAAATCAACAATGAGTGAATGGTTTAAGACTTTGCCAGACTATGTGTATGTCTCTTCCCTGCCATCTCCTTACAAATACAGCCATTCATCCGTTTCTCCCACTCCCTACTCCCTACCAGCACCCTGACTCCTCTCAAAGGCTTCTCTTCGCCAGATTATGTTTTTTGTCTTATGTCTTAAAATGTTTTGTTGTTGTTTGTTTTGGGTATTTTTTGTGGTATCAGGGATCGAACTCAGGACCTTATGCTTGTGAGGCGGGCATGGCACCATTGAGCTAAATCTGCAGCCCCAGATTTTAGAGCCTTTATGGGACACCTCCTCCCATCACCCCTGTGGAGGCAGCTCCAGCCATCCTTGCCCAGGCTCCTGCCCAAGCTCAATCACCAGACCTTCTCCCTAGAGGCCTGCAAGGTTAAGCGAGAGAGCAACCAAAGCCAGTCATTCAAAATGGGCGTATCCTAAGCAACTACTGTATTGCAACAACATTCTTTTTTTTTGGTTTTTTGAGACTGACCTGAAACTAACTGTGTAGCTCAGGCTGGTCTCGAACTCACAGCGATCCTCCTGCCTCAGCCTCCCGAGTGCTGGGATTACAGATGTGAGCCACCACGCCCAGCTCCAACAACATTCTGAGGGCTTCCTGCCTTCTGGTCCCCTGAGCACCTGGTACCCTGCCCAATGAGTACTTGGTGATATAATAAATTTCATGACTATAGCATAATATACAAAGATCATAAATGAAACTAAGACTGCAGAGATGTCACATTTAGAAGGAAGTAATATGATACTAAGTAGAGTAGAAAGACCAGTGCTATGGCTTAGCCTGTAATCTTGGCACTCTAGGAAGCTGAGGCAGGAGTACTGCAAGGTGAGGCCCAGCCTGGGCAATCCAGCAACTTAGGGAGACCCTGTCTCAAAGCAACAAAAGATGGCTGGGGATGTAGCTCAAGAGAAAGATCTTCAATCCCTAGTAACACAAAAAGCATTTATGGGGTATAGAATATATAAATTCTTAAAAGGCAAGAGTTTTCTTTCCCAAAAAAGTACCTATAGTCACAATAATCATCCATAAATGTTACTGATATTCTGTCAAACTACAGAGCGGTAGTGTAAGAAATAAAGTACTTTGAGCATGTTCCTTTCCTTATGTCAGGGCCTTTGCACATGCTCTCTTCCTGCCTGGAATGCTCTCACACTCTTCCTCAGATAATGGCTATTCGCCCCTCTGGTCTGAACAGCATTTCCTCTAGGGAGCCTTGCCTGGCAACCTCCCACCAGGGGCAGAATGAATACATCCTGTTACAGGCCCCACAGCACACTGGACTTCAGCACTTCTGGTTATAATTAAGTTGCTCTTATTTACCTCTTTATTCTTCTAGGAAACAAAGATCCAGAAAGGCACTGGTGCTCACTGCTGAGTTCTCTATATTCAACACAGTGCCCCGTACCAAGGTGCTGGGGAAAGAGACAAAAGGCTCCCAACCTGCTTCCTCCTTCCCAACATACCGTTTGGCTCTTTCCAAGTCATCATTTGCTTGCTCCAGCTCCCTGATGTATTTCTGCAGTTGATCTTTAATTGCTTTAGTCTGTGCCAGGTCATCCTCCAAAGCCGAGATCTGCCGGTAGCCTTCAGAATGCTGCATTTCAAATTTCTCCTGAAGGACAAAATCAACAATGAGTGAATGGTTTAAGACTTTGCCAGACTATGTGTATGTCTCTTCCCTGCCATCTCCTTACAAATACAGCCATTCATCCGTTTCTCCCACTCCCTACTCCCTACCAGCACCCTGACTCCTCTCAAAGGCTTCTCTTCGCCAGATTATGTTTTTTGTCTTATGTCTTAAAATGTTTTGTTGTTGTTTGTTTTGGGTATTTTTTGTGGTATCAGGGATCGAACTCAGGACCTTATGCTTGTGAGGCGGGCATGGCACCATTGAGCTAAATCTGCAGCCCCAGATTTTAGAGCCTTTATGGGACACCTCCTCCCATCACCCCTGTGGAGGCAGCTCCAGCCATCCTTGCCCAGGCTCCTGCCCAAGCTCAATCACCAGACCTTCTCCCTAGAGGCCTGCAAGGTTAAGCGAGAGAGCAACCAAAGCCAGTCATTCAAAATGGGCGTATCCTAAGCAACTACTGTATTGCAACAACATTCTTTTTTTTTGGTTTTTTGAGACTGACCTGAAACTAACTGTGTAGCTCAGGCTGGTCTCGAACTCACAGCGATCCTCCTGCCTCAGCCTCCCGAGTGCTGGGATTACAGATGTGAGCCACCACGCCCAGCTCCAACAACATTCTGAGGGCTTCCTGCCTTCTGGTCCCCTGAGCACCTGGTACCCTGCCCATTCCCAAACCTGGTTCCTATAGCCAATGCCCCAAAACCAACAACTTTGAAATAAATCATTTAAGGTGTCCACAGCCAAAGAAAGCCTCAAGCACCAAGGCAATGTGCATCTGCTTCACACACTATGTTACAGAGATTAGGAATGACTTTGGTTGTTTGTGCCTCCCATCAGGAGGAGGGCATCAGGTACTGACAACTGTCCTAACTTTTTGATCAGGATACTTTCTGTAGCATGGGAAAAGTCAGAAGAAATTTCTGGACAAGGAAGGGAGGGAAGGGAAGGAAAAGGAACAGAAAGAAAATCATTATTAATTACAGAACAAAGCTTAGTATGATTGGCTAGGGCCGCCCAAAAGCAGGGAAGAGTCCAAAGATCACTTGACGAGGAGCTGTTGCTCCTTTGGAGCAGATAACACATTACACACTTGTTCTGCACCACTTCAGCCTAGTACACAACATATGGGTGTTGTCTCTTTTATCCCAGATATGGGAACTGAGGCGCAGGTACTTAGCTAGCCCAAAGGTGACTGGAGAAGATCGAGCCCAAGCCCACTGGAGCTGATGCTCTTTAAAGAGCGATGATGGCCCTAAGCCGCTTCAATCCAGTTCACCAAGGTATAAACCATTCTTTCTGCCATTTCAGATTCTGTATGTGTGTGCATGTGTGTGTCACTTGGGACTGAACCCAGGGCCTTCTGAGTTACCTCCCCAGCCCATCGCTTTTTTTTTTAAATGTCTAAAATTTAGCTTTATTCTTCTCGGATTGGAATGGCAAACAAACAAAACTGACGTGAAAGTGTCTGTGTCCTTCTCACTTTCACTCTGAGGAAAGGGCAAGGTGCAGAAAGGGACCCTGGCCTTTCTCATTTCAGATGACTGCATTTCCTTTGAATGGGCACAGTTTCTTCATAAGCCTATGATTTTCATGTCTTCTATCTCATGGCAAACAATAGTTTCTACCAACAAAAATAAAGGTAGAGTCACAAGTAAAGGGCTAAAATCAAAGGCCTGAAGAATACCTGTTACAATTTTATTTATTTATTTTTTTTTATCAAGATCAGTTTTTGCTCTTGTGCCTTTGCTCTGGCACTTCTAAAGCAAGCAGTTTCATTCTGGTCAGCCTTTGCCAACATTACAATGAATTTCCATTAATGTTCTTTTTTTAAAAAAAATATTAATTCCATTAAACCATGTTGTGTATGGTGGTGCATATGACTTTTTAAACTGCTGTTTCTTAGGAATTAACAAAGCTAGATTTTGGTTTTGTTTTCACTTCTTACAAAATTACCTAGATAACAACATCCATAACTAGCTGACTTTATGTATACGCTGTAACCTGATTAGTAATCTGGAAACCCATCATGAGGGAGTAAGGTCAGCAGCTTTTTTTTCCTTTCTCTTGGAAACAAACTGCAAATTCTGCTTTATATTTAAATGGAAGGAAGAAAATATGCAAGCCCATATTTATATTGTATTTCTAATTAAGAGCAACAACAGCTCCTATGTTCATGTTTGCTACTATCACAACTCAACGTATGAACATAGAATCAGCTCTATACCGTGAGTACTGCTGGAAGTGATGGTTTAGGATTATCATCTCACTGCTGCCATGCCTGTAACGAGCAAAAGCATCCAGGAAACAAATCCCAGAGCAGAAATCTTTCAGTACACAATACTGCAACCACAGTGGGTAAGTACAGATTGCACATGAGTTCTATCAGCAAGTTACCTACCCAAGACGTGAGATTCCTCTTCTAATACAAAGCTCAGAGCCAGTAAGATCTACCTATAATACAGCCCTAGATTTTGTTTTTGCTTTGTCTTAAACAATTTGGTCACAATGAACCTTTGATATAAAAGCATTTTTAAACTTTGTTATTAATACTCAGGACATTAGGGCCAGAATTTTCAGTAGCATTTGTAGAACCACTTCCGGGAATAAATACAGTAGTTAGGAATATGCATCCCATTCAGAATGCATGCCAGTCCTGCATCCTTTCTGGCTAAAAACAGGGCTCGCGCTGTGATGAAATGGAGAAGGAGAATCTACAAAAAACACTGTAAACATGTTTGTTTTTTCCCCAGACGCTACATCCTCCTTTGCTGAAATACTTTATAAGTATTAAAAAGTAAGGCAGCAAATCCAAACAGTCCAAGCTGCTTGCTCAACTCTTTTCCCAATTAGATTCGCAATCCTGGTGATCAATTTCATGATTGTCTTGCCTAGTGTTTGTCTTTCTTACATCATGTGGTACAAAAGGATGTTTTTCTGACTTTTCTAAAACATCTCTGGTGCCTATTTTCAATGATGTACACAACTAATACTGGTCAGGTACTGAAGCTTGTGATGTCCCAGTGTCTGCTTTCAAAAGATTCAAGACATTGATTTGGATTCACCATAAACTTCTGCATGAATCCAAAATTCGCTTTCCTACCATGTTTATCACCTCTTCTCCTTTAACTCCTAATTTTAAACCTAGAGGAGTATCAGGACTACCTGGTAAGTGGAAAGATGTCCACTCAGAAGACAAAACCTTCATCAGGGACCATTACAACGCATGGCCCTTTTCCACATGGACATTTAACTCATGAAGATGTACAAGAGGAAATGATGTCAAATTACAGCCAAGGTATCCAGAGGAAGAAGTTATACAAACTTGTAAGGAAATGACAGTCTTTTTTCCCCCTTCCTTTCCTATAAATACATTTACCAGATTAGCAGAGAGACAAGCTGAATTTAAGATGGTTCACATTTGAAAATGGTGTCATACTCTCTGCTAGTGATAAATAAGGAACTCCTGATAATGGAATTTTTTTTAATTGAGTTTATTGGTACATTTTAGGGATACAGTACAGTTACATTCATTGTTGGGATCTTGTATCTCTGCATGACAGGCCTTGGTTCTCATTTTTTCCCCTTGTCCCTGCCCTCCCTTCACGGAATTTTAACATAGCAATTTCATCAGATCTTTCAAGACTGCTTTTCTGTTTTTGTTTTTATTTTGGTATGGGGATCCAACTCAGTACTTTTTGCCTGCAAGGCAGGTGGTAGAACTACTGAGCTCTCCAGCCCTCTGTTTGCTTTTAAGAGGGTTAAAACGATGATGTTTGCAAATTGCTGAGAAGTCCATCTACTGTCCAAGCTTTGAAATCCTTTTTTTTTTTAAACTTTTACTTAGACAGGGTGTATACAGTGCTGTTGTAATAATGAAACAAAAGTGAGATCCTCTGTAAAGCTGCACAATACAGAAAACTGTTGCCCCATCTTCTATTACATCAAGGTGTGACTCCACAGGTTAGTGTTGTCATATTTTTGTTAAGTTGGAATTATCGCATCACGTCTAAGATCTCTCTTCTAACTCTAGATCCTCCAATTTTTTTCCACAATTCTTCACACACTCTTTTCCTTTTTCTCATGCTGCCAATCTGACTTGTATGTTGCTGTGAGTTCATCAAACACGGAGCTGTTCATAAATGCCTTCCACACACTGTACACTAATGCCACAATAGCTGGGTTCCAATGTTCTTTTGAAATCCTGTAAAGGCTTGAAAACATGATGGAAAGGATGACATTGGAGTTCTCATCTCTCAAACTCGTGATGTAAAACTCATTTTTCCAATAATAGAGTGCTGTTTCTGCCACCTGAAAATGGGTGCTGGATATACTCTTGGCAATTTGTTTAAACAAAGGTTCTTGAATTTTAACAAATTTGCGATGGTTTAATCTCATCCAGAATTTCTTCTACCTCCCCAAGGAACATGACCTCTTTTTGACTGCATGTTTTAGGCCAAAATTTCATTAGCCCCCTAATAACTGGTTCTGTAGGTGAAGTATCTTTCTCCAGAAACTGTACTACACAATATGCCAACTGGGCACGAGAGAGTGATACGCTCCTGACCGTGTGTAAAGGGATCAACACTTTCACTAGAAACTGTGCTCTGCCTTCAGAGGTAAACAAAGCCATTGATAATACTTCCTAATATTTCCAACAGCTCAGCTACGCCACTGAAGTGTTCGGTTTCATAAACAAACCTCAAAAAAATATTGTTAATCTGTTTTCAGATAAATGCTCTAGGACCAAGAAGCTTGCCATAAATTCTGTGTGAACTGTCCTTAAGTAGTCCCATTCCCGAGGGTCTTCACTGTCAAATAGCTCCAGAAGCTGCAATACAGATTTCTGATCTACGTACTTTTTTGGCAGTGCTGGGTTGGAATTCTTGGCTTTCCAAAAACTGTATGAAACCTTCATTACAAGCTATAGGTGTGGCCACGATGCCTCAAGAGTAGATTCATCTTCTTCTGGACCAAATTCACTGCTGTCACTGGGAGGGAGAGTTTGGAATACACTGCAAGATGCCATTCTAACTACTTCAGGGTAAGTCTGCTCGGCGTACTGGAGTGTAGTCCACCAGTTCACCAAGAGCACAGCGCTTGTACGCTTTCATTTCAAGATCAGATAGGGTGTCTGTGAAGTCAAAATTGACACAGCACTGCCGCAGTTTCTTGAGGTTGGAACATCTTTCAACAGCGCCAAGAGGTGCTAGGCTTGCCTTGACACCTAAACTATGAGGGGCTTTGTGACCTCCTCTGTCTGGCTTTCCTGACGGACTTCCGAGAGAATCCTTCTACTTCACCCACTGATGGAGGTGTGGTTGGTGCTGAAGACATATCCCTTGAAGCTTCTGAGGAAGAACAGGAGTTCCACTGGGCGGCAGATAGGTGGCCCGGAGCAGCGTCCCCTTCAGTTCCACGGGGCAATGGCGCCTGTAGCCCTCACAGCCCGAACAGACCCTCAGCGCTCCAGCAGCAGCCTCACGATCCTCCACTGAGACTGTCCTGTCCTGAGCTCAACCCCGGTGTGGTTCCGCAGTGGCTCAGGGGATGTGGGGGTGGAACTGCAGCAGCAGAGGAGCTGGGAGGAAGAGGAGTCCCTAGGCCGCCAGTCGCCAGTTCGTTACCTGCGGTGGGTCCCCATCAAAGTGCCTTTCTCTCCCCTATTGTCAATATCACTTATCACTTTGTAAGACAGGGTCTCACTTAGTTGCCCAGGCTGGGTTTAAACTTCTGGTCACTTGCCTCACCCTCATTGGGATTACAAGCACGTGTCTCCACATCCAGCTTTACAGATTCCTTTCCTTCATCAAACACCCTTCCGCAAACAACACAAAACATATCCCACCAGAAAGGCTCATGATCAGATGTGTTTTTTTTTTTTCAGGGGGGAACCAGGGATCAAATCCGGGACCACACCTATGAGGCAGGCAGTGGAACCACTGAACTAAATCCCTCAAGTTCAGATCTGAAAGTTAAAAACAAAGGCAAGTTCTTCTTCACAAGACCCAGTCAACAAAGCTGTTGCTACAAACAGTCTGCGTGCACCGGAAGGTGATGTAATGGTGCTCAACATGGGTGTGGTAAGAGGCCCTGGGAAAGAAGAACGGCAGAAGAACAGCAGATTATTCACAGGGCGATGACAGGGAGGTCACTGCATGTCTTCCAGCTACTGGGGCAGCTTTGATGTTCCCATTTCCTGGCTGTGAGCAGAGACCAAGTGTCTGAATTCAGGAAGAGGCGGCCTAGCCCTATGCACCAAGCAATGTCCACGTGCGGGTCTGACACTACCCTGCACCCTTTATTTGGTGGCATCTCCAAATTAAACACAATGCCAGGTCATTAACCGTGTCGCCAAGGTGGGTTCCAAGAGGATGTAGGCAACAGACTCCTCCACCCACGTATACATTCAGAATCTCCCCTTTGAACTCGGGACATGAAAAGCTGTTGCTGGAATGCTGGGCTTTCATTTGGGGCTGATTATAAAAAGCAGTCAGCTGATGCAGCATCAATGGACGCTCTGTTTGATCCCTGACAGGCTTTTGTATTCAACTCGTGATGAATGCGCCAGTTGTCAAGAAGCCGTCTCAGATCAACACATCTCTCTTAGGTGACTGACAAATATTTACTAGTGGCAGTGCACGCTTTCTCCAAGCATTCGTATTCCTTCCCCTGCTCTGTGCTCCAAGTCTGTTATGAGGCTGTAACGAAGATGCCTTTTGCAGGTTCGAGGTCCTTGCTTTTTGCAGTACTAGGAACTGAACCTGGGGTGTTACCCCTGCTATGGAAGCACATTAGTGCAAAGCTCCATTTCCAGTCCTTTACTATATTCTGAGACAGTCTTACTCAGTTGCCCAGGATGGCCTTGAAATTGTGATCCTCCTGCCTCAGTCTCCCAAGTAGCTGGGATTACATGTGTACACCATCCCACCCAATACATAAAGCAGTTAATTATTCCATAAGTGAGCGATATTTACTCAGCATCTCTGGGGGACTTTTATCCTCTTCAAGCCATAGTTTATACCACAAATCCTTTCCCGACTTGTCCCTGCGTTCCCTTCAACTTAAGAACAAGGACAATTCTTAATTGCCTATGGCAGGGATCAAGCACGCATTCTTGCAGAGGTCAAGCTGCTAACAATGAGACAAGTGGGCCCCATGCAGATCAAGCAGTAACCAGCCCTTGGCCTTCAGCATCAGGGCTCCAGGGACTGAGACAGACTGGACTCAGCTTTCTGTTGGAATGACCAGGCCCAATTCTCAAGGGAAGCTGGATTTTTCTGGGAAGTTTTATAAATCTTGATGTTTTCATTAAATATTAAAAAAAAAACCCTAAAGATACCGATTTTACTACTGAAAGAAGAAACTTGAAATAAATGCTGAGCACTAATAATAATAAGCAGGTTGAAGCACTTGGGGAGACATGTATAGATTTTTGCAATTTACTTCGAAATGCATCAGAAAAAGCAGGAGGCATGCACAAGAACATTACAGTCAACGTCATGGTCGAAACTAGGGGTGAGTATACAGTTAGTATTCACTGGAGAGTGCTTTCCCACGTGCTGTGTGCTTAGAAACTTTCATGGTACACTTGGAATAAAATCCACTAAAAGATAGGCCAGACTGATCTGTAGATGGCCAGGTTGGGTTCTCCAGGCAACAATATGAAACCTGAACTTCACTGATCAGGTTCTAAGGTTTTAAAGACCTTTCTTCTCCTTCTGTTGGAATCACCTGTTCGCCTCACATTCTCCCCCCATGGGAGTAAGGCCAGGCTTCCCACTTGACACTCTATGATTTGGATCTAGATTGTCCTCTAAAAGTAGATGCGGCCGGTGATTGGATTATGGGGTTGCCACACTCATCAAGGGGGTAACATGCTGTTAGGAGGTGGGCCCTGGTCAGAAGAGGTAGGTCACTGGAGGGCAGGAGCTGGAAATGTGTGTCTCCCTCCCTGATTTCTCCCTCTGCTCTCTGTTGTACCATGGCATGAACAGCTATCCTTTGCCTAGGCCCGTCCAATATGCTGTTTCTGTGTTAGGGCCAGACAGGCATGGACTGAAATTTTTGAAATTGTGGGTCAAAATTAAATCTCTCCTCCTTTAAGTTGTGAGCGTTGGGCAATTTTTCTCAGCAACCAGAAAGAGACTAAGATAGAATTTGGTACCAGAAACGAGATTCTACAAGGATCATACATGGCCATGTGACATAGAAGCTCTGGAACTGGTTTACAGGAGGAGTTTGGAAAGATTTGGAGATGCTGACTAGAGAAACCACAGAGAAATAGGAACAAAAAGCCCATTTAAAGTTTTCAGTTTTGCCAGAAACAAAATACCTACAAAGTTAGAACAAAGAATATGGATACTGAAAGATTAGCAATAAAAAGAAGCCAAGTACTTTGCACTGGGACAATAGGAAAGACAGCTTAAGGGCATCTCAGGAATAGGCAAGAATCTATCCTTCAAAGGCTGAAAAATGCAAAGGTGAAAAACTTTGCTTTGAGAAGAAAGCCTTAGGGCATCCTGCCAACTACGGAATTGGTTCCTGGGGATTATGTTCACAATGCTCAGCTAACCAGGCACCCAAGAGACCTCTGCAGCTATGATCCCTGGGGGCCCAGCTACTGCTTGAGCTTGGACATATGTACAGATAATTTTGGCTCTCAGGGGTGGGGGAGTGCTAATGAAATCCAGTAGATGGAGGCCAGGGAGGCTACTGAACATCCTACAATGCAAAACTCACTCCTCATACCAGAGAACTATGTAACCTCAATGTCAATGAAGCACTACTCCTTATCCATGGGGGACACATTTCAAGACATTTTGTTGCACCCAAAACTTGAGATAGTACCTAACCCTGCACGTACTATTGGTTTTTCCTATGTTACATACCTCTGATAAAGTTTAATTTGTAAACTTTAAGAAATGAAAATAAGGGGCCAGGGATTTAGCTCAGCGGTTCGGTGGCCTGCCTTGTAAGTGCAAGGACCCGAGTTCAATCCCCGGTACACCCTCCTCCAAAAAAGAAATGAAAATAAAATAGATTAAAATGAATTATGTAAGTTATTTAAAAGCTTATGAATTATCTATGCCTGCAATTTTCTATTTAATATTTTCAGATCACAGGTGACCACAGGTAACTAAAATAATGGAGAGTGAAAACACAGATGATACTAGCAGACTGCTGTAGGCACAAGAGGAGAAACCTGTTCTAGATGGGCATTGCCCAACATAGCATTGTGTCATGACAGAACTGGTCTACAGCCCTTCTATTAATGATACACATGAGCCATGTTTGGCTGGCTGCCAGGCCTAGAAACATGGCCAGTGTGGAGTTTATTAACTTACAGTTCAATGACACATGCAGCTAGAAGCCACACTGAACAGCATAGCTCTGGACCTCATAATATAATGATTAGCAATTCTAGTGTGATATTTCAATCTCTAAAAAGGTCTCCCTGTCACATGCCCTATGAAATGAGTACAGATCAAGAAAAGCCACAGAGACACATGTCACAGGGCTCCACACATCAGGGGCATACAGCACAAAAACCATGTCCACCCATAAGGCCCGCAGTTCCTGGGCCCACAGAGCTCCTCCTCACTGCAAACCCATCCATCCCCCTCCGCTCTTCACCTTGACAGTTTCCAGCTCCATGCGAAGGCGGTTATTCTCCGATAAGAGGTCTCGATTCCTGGTTTCAATTTGCTGCAGCTGCGTCTCTAATTCAGCTTCATATTCTCGGCTTCCCTCCTGGAATTCTCGGAGTTCCTCCTGTGTATTCTCTGCCCTGTAGAATTTCAAAAGGTCAAGCAATAATTTATTGAGCACTTAATGTGTGCTGGGCATAGAACCATTTAAGGCAGTATGTGGATCACCTCTTTACTCATCTCTCCTCGTTCCCATTTTAGTGAAGATGCAATTTAGACGAGATGAATGACTGGTCAAGTTGGGAGTGGTGCTACATGTCTATAATGCCAGCTACTCAGGTGGCTGAGACAGGAGGATCATAGACCAGAGGTCAACCTGGGAAACTTAGCGATCTGACCAAAAATTTTAAAAGGGCTGAGGGATACACATTGTCTCTGGAGGATTTGCCTTGCATATGTGAGTCCCTAGTTCAAGCTCCAGGAGCAGGTGGGAAAAAAAAGTGAGTAAAACTTGTTTTAACAGTCAGAAACTGATAAGCAAAACTGGCACCTAACTTGGGTGTGTCTAACTACACTGGACACACAATAAATGTAAATTTATCACATCACTGCAATCTGCCTCTAGTCCATGCTAAATACCTATGTCTGCCTTCACAATCCTTAATTTTTTTTTCTTCTTGGAGACAGGGCTTCACCAGGTAGTCCAGGCTGGCCTTGAACTCAGCAATCCTCCTGCCTCAGCCTCTCAAATGCTGAGATTATAGGTGTAGACCACCATTCCTGGCTCCACAAGCCTCAAAATTAAACAATCTTTTTTTTCTTTCTAAATTAAGCATAATTACCATTATTGCTCACACACACACACACACACACACACACACACACACACACAC